ATATATATATATATATGTATGTATTATATATATTTCAGATCCCTGCACCTGCCAGCCACAAAAAATAAATTCCAAAATATTTTTAAAGAAATGCCGTCCCAGAAATGTGCGTACACTAGAATAATTTCTTTAGTGATACTAGACTTTAATGCAAAGATGAAAATCATTCATAATTAGCACCTTGATACAAAGAAGCATTGTTTAAATTCTTATTTGTTTTCAAAATTCAGAACCTTAAGGTGAAATTGATTTATCAAATCAGTTTCTCACAGTCAGTGTAGACTTTGGACTAGCTTTTCTAGGAATAATAACAATAAAAAAATCCCAAAGTAAATGGATGGGTTGTCATAGTGTTTGGAAACTTCCACTGATTCTGACCCACACTCTGGCTGAGGCTGGGTGTGGCCGAGCATGCACCACGCCAGAACCGACCCGACATGCCCGGCTGTGACTGCTGGTTTACGGTTGTAGTAGGTTCGCCATGCTGCACTCACAGAAGCAGTTGTGTGTTTGCACGTATGTGCATCTGCATGGGTGTGTGCTTGTGTGTGCCCATGCACACACATGTCTTAGGAGGAGAAAAGGGACTGGGGAGTGAATTTGATTTGAATTTCACGAGAGAAGGGAAAAGGCAGCTGGCCTAGTAAGAACCCCAGGGAAGCCTTAGGTCAAAATAATAAGGGGGACAATTGAGGATCTCTTGTTAAATATCAACTTTCCCAGGGAGCAAAAAGAATACCAGGGCCATGAGACAAAAGACATGCCTCTTAATCCTGACTGTCATTCATAAAACACCCTTTGTCTATTCAGGGCGATTTTAGTACTTGGCTCTGTGGGCGAAGGGTAGAAATGAACCAGAAGGAATTTTCATCGAGTTAGGCTTTCAATGAACTGAGCTTTCTATGAAAGCATTTGAACCAACTTCATTCAGTACTTGACTTTTTTTTTTTAAAGCAAGGGTTGTTTTGCTAAGTTAGAGATTCCCTATAGCAAGTGTTTTTGCTGATCAGCTCCAGAAAACATTTAAAAATGGATGATTTGTGAACTGAGTTCACACCAGAGGAGGAAGGAAAGAAAATGGGGTGCTTCGTTTTTTGATGAGGACTACTAGCCTGGCAAAGGGATGTTTCCCCTGGAGCTTGATAAATATATTAAACATCTGCCTACACCACAGAGTCATAAATCCTGGTGCGCCAATCACGACCCCAACCCCTACCCCGGCAAATGGCCACTAGGGAAGGCAAACATTTGCATGCACTGAGGTATTCAGTTATTGCTAACCGGTGAAAGCCTTCCCCCTCAGCCCTCCACAGATAAAAAAATAAATGCATATCCTTAAGTAGCTCTTCCAAAGCCACCCATCGATCAGCAACTGGATTAAGACTTTAGATGCAAAGAGAAGGCTCGTAGAACAAACGAATTTACACTAGAGGCTTCCTTCCTCTAGGCATCAGCGAAGAAGTTATGATCAAATATTTATTAGCTGTGCCTTTGGCTGGGCTGTCTGAGCAGAGGGAAAAATAAGGTATCTTAAGGCAAAGAACGGATTGCTAATTGAGCACTGCTTAGATACAAACATCTGCTCTTTAATTACACAAAGAAGTCTCCAGGCACCCCCCCACCCCCACCCCGTTGCTCCTGGGATGCTTCTGCTCACTTATTTTGCAACTGTATGTAGTCATGGAATTTCCAGAACCACTGCTCAGAATCTGGGGAGGAAGCCCATGGCCAATGAGTCAGATTTTTAACTCAGAAAAAGGGTTACTTGGTGAATTTAGAGATGATGCTTGGGCACAGTCATGACTAGTTCAGATCACTGCAACAGAGGTCAAAGAGACCACCATTGTTATCTGCTCTCGCCCCCTTCGTGGAATTCAACCTGCTACCCTACTCTTCCATCCCCTGCTCCACCAGAAACCTTTCTCATTGGCAGAACTCAGTCATTCATCCAAATGTTAATGCAGAAAAGCCAGGGCTGGGGCAGTGAGGTCTCATTAGTTTAGCTCTTGGTGTACTAAGAGTTCTATTGGGATCTCAGTACACCTAAGTCTGTTACTGACCCTCTTCTGTAGACAGAAACCTCAATTGTAGAATAGGAGGTTGAACTCTATGTGATCTATTAGGTCTGTGGTCAGAGCCAATGGTTCTAATCATCCAAGTGGATGGTTGTCACTAAATTAAATGGAGAGCGAGCTTGATTTTTAAAAAGGTGGAGACACCGATTTTGGCCATTGTGATTTAGAAGGTTTGAGATGAAGCCTAGAAATAGGTATGTTTAGAAGTCTTTCCAGGTGACTCTAATTTAGCATTTTTCCAGGTCTGAAGGATCTTTTTTTTAACCTGAATGCAGTAATTCATCATATGAAGTACACCAGGAAGAATCTGACCTCTCATTGAAAAGGAAAGACGTGCATCCCACTGCCCAGCCGCCGTGGTGGGGTCCCAGGGAGGGCTGGCTGTCTCACTTTTCTATGTTTCCACCTTCCTTTGCTTTGCAATGGAGACAGCCAGCCTGTAGTAGGTGCCCAAGGAAAAGCAAGGAGAACGGTTTGCTTCCTGGCACTGTGGTAAGCCAGAAAAATGACCTAAAATCAAATCAAATCTCTAAAAGAAAAGACAAAGAAAATAGTCTGATCATAGTTGGCCAGTTAGGCCTGCCCACACTATTCCCACCTTAAGCCCTGATTCAGTCTTTTTTCCTCAGCCAGCACAGCCCGTCCAGAAGATGACATTGTGACCACAGGAGCAGAAGACCACGTGGCAACCCCACGAGTAGAAGATGTCATGGTGACCCCAGGGCCTAATGAAAATCCCCATGAGTCTGCTGGCCTGACAGCTGTGGTGCGTATCCTGGGAAGAGAGGGATTTGCTCTCTAGGCATGCCATCATATGTTAGGATATAATACATATTTACATATATTATATAATAAATATAATATGTATTACATAAAATCAGCATGAGTCACCAAGCAAAGGAATAGTTATATGGCTCCCCACAAAAACTACTTCCTAATTTCATTTAGTTAACAGGTAGCTGGTGTGCTGATCACAAGTGATTTGAGTGTATAGACCAGGATTCTCAAACTGGTGAGGAAACCAGGTTATTAAATTTCCTATCTGTTATAGCCCAGTTTTCAATACAATAAAAGTCTTCTTGGATGTTGTGGCAATGTCATTGGTATAAAAGTTTCTAAATATATATTCTCACTATAGACTGCCAATAAATGTGGGCTAGAACCAGTGCACAGACCACACTGGTACATAATATGTGGAATCTCCACTGACACATGCTGAACCTAATGAATCTTTGATTAACTCCCATGTGTCTTTAGCACCTGCTACAGGCAAGACAAGATGCCTGGAAGAGGTAGGGATTTTAGAGGTACCTGAACCACACCCTTGACCCTTGAGGAGCTCACAGTGTCATTGGTAACAGGACAGAGGCTCCTGCCTGCCTGTCTTTCTGACTTCTTGTACCACTGTCCCCTCGGTCTCTATGTTCACCATATTGGCCTTTCTGACCTTTGAACACACTAAACTTGCTCCATCTTAGGCTTTTATTTTCTCTGCCTAGAACATGCCCCAAATCTTTTCATGGCTGACTTTTTCTCGTGATCCTCAAGTTCAGTGTTATCTCAAAGACACATTATCTAAAGTAATCCCACCCCCTAGGAGTTACTCTCTAACCCTGAGGTCAGCAAACCACCTACTAGATTTGGCCCACCAACTGTTTTTGTAAATAAAGTTTTATTGGAACACAGCAATGCCTATCCAGTTGAAGACCGTCTGGCTGTTGCAATGTAAGAGCAGAGTCGAGTAGTTATGACAGGGACTGTATGGCCTGCAAAGCTGAAAATATTTACCATTTGGCCTTTAGAGAAAAAGTTTGCCAACCACTAGTCTAGTCTAGTCTAGCTTATATTTTCTTCAAAGCACTTAAAGGCATCTGAAATTACCTTGTGTGTTTGCTCACAAGATAAATATTTGTGCCTTAACACTCTGCCCCAGAATGTAAGCTTCAAGAGGGCAGGGAATTTATATTACTCATGTCATATTCCCGGGGCTCAGAACCATGCTGGGCCCATAGTAGGTACTCATTAGCATATTTTGTTGTTGATGTTGTGTAAAAAAACACGTAACATGAAATTTACCATCTTAACTGCTTTTGAGTGTACAGTTCATTAGTCTTAAGTACATTCACACTGTTAAATAGATCTCCAGAACTTTTTACCTTGTAAAACTGATACTGTGTACCCATTAAACAATAACTCCTCATTTTTCCCCTCCCCCAGCTCCTGGCAGCCACCATTCTACCTTCTGTCTCTATGAATTTGACTACTCTGGAATGTCATATAAGTGGAATCAGATAGTATTTGTCTTTTTGTGGCTGGCTTATTTCACTTAGCCTAATGTCCTTAAGGTTCATCCATGTTGTTGCAAGTGTCAGAATTTCCTTTATTTTTAAAGCTGTATAATATTCCATTGTGTGCATACACCACATTGTGTTTATCCATTCATCCATTGATAGACACTTGGGTTGCTTCCACCTCTTGGCTATTTTGAATATATGCTACTGTGAGGAATTACTGCTGAGGGTATGCAAATATCTCTTCAACACCCTGCTTTCAATTCTTTTGGGTATGTACCCAGATGTGGGATTGCTAGAACTAAGGTAGTGCTATTTTTAACTTTTTGAGGAAGCACCATACTGTTTTCCACAGCGGCCACACCACTTCACATTCCCACCAACAGTGCATGAGGGTTCTAATTTCTGCATGTCCTCACCAACACTTGATAGTTTCTGGCTTTTTTAAAAATTGTAGCCATCCTAATGGACGTGAGGTGGTATCTCATGTGGTTTTGATTTGCATTTCTCTTATTAGTGATGTTGGGCATCTTTTCCTATGCTTGGCTGTTTTTATGCCATCTTTGGAGAAATGTCTATCAGGTCCTTTGCCCATTTTTTAATTTGGTCATTTGATATTTTTTGTTATTATTGTTGAGTTGTAGAAGTTCTTTATGCCCTTATTGGATGTGTGATTTGCAAATATTTTCTCCAGTTCCATAGGTTGCCTTTTCACTCCGTTGACTGTGTCCTTTGATGCACAAACGTTTTTAAGTTTGACGTAGTCCCATTTGCCTACTTTTGCTTTTGCTGCCTGCACTCACCAGCATATTTATTGAATGCATATTTGTTGGTATGAACTTTGAAGCCAACAGAACCACTTCCAAGTCCTGCTCTGTTGCTTATTGGCTGTGAGTTTGGGCATGTTATCTAATCTCCCTAAGCCTTGCTCATACAACAGGACTAATAATAGTATCTACTTCATACAGTTGTATGTGGAGTAAATGAGAATGCATTTAAGGGGTAATAATGAGAACACATGGCAAGCTCTCAGTGAAGGCTAGCTGTCACTCTAATTAGGGGAGGAATGGCATTAAAGGGTGATATAACCAAATATGTGCCAAACAGATGTTACAGTGAAAGAGTCCATATTCAAGCTCAAGGGAGAGAAAGAATTAAAGCCTAGTGACCCAGTGTTTTTGGAAGAATTAACACCCCCCCAGGGAGTTAGCATGCTAAACATTTGGCATTAATTTCTAGAGTAGACTTGGTTTTATTCCTGTTCCCACCCTTATTGCTTCTTTTGGTTTGTTTCCACTTTCAATTTATGTCATTATATATTTCATATATTTATTCCACTTTAAGTCTTTTTCTGCTATAAAGCAGAGTATATATTTTGAAAACATGAGACTTTATTTTCTATTCCCTCATTTACATCTCTAATAGGTGCCAACAAGTGCAAAGAGGTTCAAGGATCTGCTAACCCCAGAAAGCACAGTCTATGCCCAAGAAGAAAGCCAGAGCACCACCACCCCAAATGTGGCAACTAGTCGTTCCATGGGTAAGAAAACCAGTCACTCCAATAGGGGTTGATCTGCTTTTGCATAATCAGTGCATTACAAAAGTTCATAAACAAATACAGTAATCAATAGGGAACATACTGGAATGCAAGAGTGAATTCTGAACCGAGCTTTATGTGGTAGGTTCAGAATTCCATTTATTTAGTTGCTAAATCAAATTTGATTTATTGGATTGCTGAACATATCTCTCTACCTAAGGATAACTAGTGATAATGCCCCCACAAGGAAGAGTTAAGGGGCTACTGATGTTGTGTTGGTAAACTTAAGATGATAAAGTGTCACATTAAGAACTTTGTGTTGACACCCAAAAGTACAAAACTCAACCGACCTACGTAAACAGATTCTATACTAATATTTACCATTTTACATTGAGATTATGTCTGTACACCTGGAGCAAGAATCTATTCTGAACCAGTCTTACCAGGATTTTTGGTTGTTGTCATGATTCACAGTTGACATCTATAGCAGTATGAATGGAACATTTGGGAGAGAGATTTTGGAGGAAGCCTTTGGGTCTTTGCCATGATCATAAGATTTAGACCATAATTGGTGAGAACAAGAAAAGGTCATTGTCAATTTAGCAGTGGAAAGAAATCACTTCTTATTTCTGGATATTTCTTAAAAGAAATTCAGTTTAAATTTTTTAAAAATATGCCTTATTTCATAGTAGATGGTGTGGCAGAGAAAAGGACTACTTGCCAATGTGAGGAATTTTATATAAACCATTTTATCTAGATAGATCTTATGTTTCCATTTCAAAAATGAAAGTAAATTAAAGATCGCCCTAAACTAGTGGTTCTCCAAATCAGTTGCACATCTGAAGACCTAGAAAATTATTCTTTAT